TATATTTTTATATCAACATTGAATTCTGAATCTGATTAAGAGTGCTATTCAATACTTTCTTGGCCATTTAGTACTGACTGATCTCAGGCCTAGGGGAATTTACTAACTCATAATATTGGGGACAATGAATTTCTGATTTCAAACTGTTTGATTCTTCTATAAAATAATGCAGGGCATTCTATACATTCTCTCCTTAGGACTACTAGATTGTTATTAGCAAAATATCCAGAATGTTTAATAACTAAACAGTCTTATCTATGCGTCTACCAAGACAAGGCAATTTACACCACCAAGAGATAGAAGAACCCCTGTCTGTCTATATAGTATAATATGCTATGGAATGACCAAAAATGTAATCAAGATATAGTCAGTGTCTAGCAGACACATTGACGTTTATAATAGTACAAGTTTCCTACTTTTCATATCATAAACAAAGTACTACTTTTTTATCTTAAAACAGAGGAATAACCATATTGAAATGACATTGCATGTTTTTGTCTCTCATTTATACACTTATTTGGAATTCCTAAATCTTGTCTTCATAATCATTTCATGTGTCACTATAATGCCAAAATCCCACTCAGGTGTTTGTGGGTTATTAGAGTACATTAATTAGGATACTATTGACAACTAAAAACATTGTGGCATAAACACATCATTGCAAGATTGACCAAAGAATGTCTAATCATTAAATAGCCTTTCCACAGTGTACCTAAGAGCAGAGAAACGATACGGCAAATTTGATTCCATACTGTAGATGTACCATATCTTAAAATGATCATAACTACATGTTGTGACGATTGGATGAATTGCTGGTAGACAATGGGAAGACATTTCAATTTTTTTGCATGCCATATTTCATATCAAAATCCCTCTATTCAGGGACCACAGAGCATAGTGTGAAGTGGGGGCTAATCTATGGCGTCCAAGGGGATGCCCAAACCCCCTGAAAATCTTGAAACTGAGGCTTTTGGAATAGTGATTTTCAGTGCTGCTGTTTTGAGGTGCAATTGCAACATATTTATTGCATTAAAGTCATGTCAAAGCTCTAGGTTAACTCATAACAGAAAATCATTTTTGGCTAAAAACATGGACTCCCTGCCTCCCTATCCCCCACCTCCACAGTGCCTGTTATTATTATTATTATTTTATTATTTTGTTTAATTCAAGAAAAAATTGCATAAACAATAATTTATACACAAGAGTATCAAAGTGCCTTAAAACTTGGTAAACATATTTGGGATTTGTATTAAAGCAAGTTAAAATGCATGTACTTGACTCTTTACCATGATGTAAACAAGCTGTAAATTGCTAGAGGTAGAGAGAATCAAGAGTCTGAGTGCTCAAAGTGCTTCTGTAGCTTCTGGTGTAATTCAGCATCCCATTACAGAGATCTAATTGCAGCCAATTAATACTGATTCTATAATAATGTTCCATACATATATTACAAATTCTCTAATTTTTTATTAGTGGTCTTTAATTCAAGAAACTAAAGAAAAAAATCCTTCATTTCATTATAATAGATAAAAAAACTAGCAAAAAAATTGTCAAAAAATATAGATGCTATCATGAAGATCATGAACAAAATTCTACACTTGATTTAACTGTCGAGTGCTATAGACTGTTGTCTTTGCATAAAATTATTATCAATGAAAACTGTTTTTACTTTGTTTGATGTCTTAGGTGTTATACAAG